ATCGCTCAGCGCCGCCCTCTAAAGGCGTAATCAACACACATCTAATAAACAAACGTCACTCAGCACCGCCCTCTAAAGGCGTCATTAACAAACATCAAATAAACAAACGTCACTCAGCGCCGCCCTCTAAAGGCGTCATTAACACGTTGCTCAGTGCCGCCCTCTAAAGGCGTCATCAACAAACATCAAATGTCACTCACCGCCACCCTCTAAAGGCGTAGTACCATCAGTGAGAAGATCATAATTATTTTGTAAGTCCTGTGGCGTCTCAGTAAATGTGTTTTCTGCTTTTTCATGTACATATTTGCCTCAAACCAACCAATGAAAATGAACCCAGTTCACATTGTTTGTTGAGATTTGAGTATATGATTGTGAAAGCTGACAAATGTGGAAATTAATTGTGATCAGGCAATTATGTAATAATGGTGACAGGTGTAGGTTCACCTTGTATCTATATTCATTAACCATTTTATCATAAACATTTACTGTATAGGTCCATTTTGTATGTTTACAGTTACAGACTGTAGCCCATCTGTTGCTGCAGTTCCTCAGCCCCCCTCTGCTCCATTCATCTAAGGAAAGAGATCACAATAGGACCACCGCTGACCAGATATTATTTTTGGAAATAAACTATTCTCAGCACAGCAGTTGTATGTTAGTGGATGTTGTGCAGGTACTAGATCTGATAGCTCATGAGCTGATCAAAAAGGTGTTATCTCCAGGAATCAGTAGATGTTATAAATCTGATGAAATTCTACAAATCCGTGATTGCAGCGTGAATTAAAATTCCCCCACAGAAAACATTTGCTTCCTACCTGGCAGATGAAATACCAAACGGAAGAACGTTATCAGCGTTATCAGCGCCCCATGAGAGGGCATCTTCAAATAAAACAGTGAGATTGGATTAATCACAGATACTGATAATCCTTCAGATTTTAATCTGATTTCAGGGAGTTCAGATTAGGGGCTCGTCCTTTGCCAAAGGATGCAATAAACCAGCTGTGCTTCGAGCACAGATTATGTATTATGAAGCAAATAATCATTTTAAACAGTCATAAAATTGTATTTGGTCCTAATATGAGTATTTTAGTTTTTTAAATGAGCACAAAAAATAGGGATCCTCACAAAATTCAAGCTTTATTGACTTGATGTTCTGTCACTCAGCGTTTATTTCATAGTTGCTCAATACAACATTCACACTAGGGCTGCCAAAACATGCAATTCTGTGCAATTCAGTTTAATAACACTGTTGATTCTGCAGATTGTACTAGAGCTATAAGGATCACTGCAGCACCTCGATGGTGGGACGCTTGTTTTTTTCTCCATTAAAGACCAGCTAAGTGCGTTTTAGATCTGAAGAGGCAACCAAAATGCTTCTGCGCCACACTGCTACCTCCTCCTGTCTTATCAGTGTAGCCATTTATACCAGCCATGCATGGCAAGCTTTTCATTCTGACTGTGTTCAAAGTCTAATTTTTGAAGTTTTATGCAACTTTTGCAACATTTACTGCTATGAGCTGGAAGCAAGTACAAAATACTCAGATATCAGTACATTTTTTATTAAAGTTTAAAAAATATTAAACAAAAGCTTAGCACTGAGTACTTTTACCATGTTCCAAGGCAGATTGACTGAATTACACTGAAATACCAACAGGTTCTGGGTATTAACTGGGTAAGTAAATTTCCAGGTAGTTGTATGACATAAAAAGATTGCACATGAATTAAGTAAGAAGAGTTTTATCAAGGTCCTTATACAAAAGTCTGTCTTCTCAGTGGACAACAATGCGTCTGGGCAGTTATTTCCTCTCATGCGAGACCAGAGAACTCTCTATTTAAATAGGGAAAGACCTATAAAACTGAAACTACCAGCCACATAAACGTTTCAGAAACAGAAATCACTGATAAAATCTGACAAAAATAACTTAAATAGATCGTAGCTGCGCCACTCGGGAGCCCATCCTCGAACTTTGTGCCATCATATGACTCACTCACTACTTTCTGATTTACGTTCCTGCTTAAAACAACCTTACATGTTTTTACCACCTTGTTCCTCCAAATATTTATGAGATTCTGTTTCTTAGAAAATCTAGAACCTGTTTAGCATTTCAGTGTAATTTAGTTAAACTGACTCAGAACTTACCATTATGTTTATAATTATCAGTAATCAATAATTATCTAGCACTTTGGAGTTTGTACTTCACACTAACCTGATTAATACATATGGATTATAATACTGTAAAAGTAAGTTTTTCCATTTGGTTCTGTTTGACAGACATGATTACTTCAGCTATTTTGTTTATTTGAATTTATTTAATTACACTTTATGAAGCAATTTATTTAATTGTATTGCTGTGGTGATGTCATACATATTGCAAATTTAGCTAATTTTGTAAATGTTCATAGTTTTCTTTGTAAACTTTATATACTGATGTCATACACTGGAAATGAAAGTACCTTTTAGCATCAGTACTATCCATAGACTGCACTAACAAAGGACGTGTGGCTAACATGCAGCTTGCACCCAGAAACAGCTTGTGGAACAGCAGCAATGATTTCCACCGCCAGGCTTTATTTATTTATTTATTTTAATATGCTGTTGCTCATTTAAACCATGTGTGGAATAAACACAAACGGCTAGAGTGATTTTTTTGGGGGCTCCCATTACTTACTTACTGCCCAATGTTGCACCAAGACCTCCTGCTGCTAAAAAGCTTTTGCTCTTTCTGTGTGGAACTCAAATCAGCTGCGCCAGTTCTGGGGGTTGGACTGGCAATGATCAGCCCCCGCTGCTGGAGAGTTAGCCAGCTGACCTTTAGAGCATTTCACACTGCTTTAAAACCCGATCTCAAAGTCAGTCCGGACTTGCTTTGCATGTTGGATTTGCACCCGTTGAATGCAGCTCCCATTTGGTTTTGCTTAAAATGACCCTGACGAAGTTCTACAAAGTCACAGAGAATCAGTCGTGAGGAAAATTCCACCAGTGTGTGAAAAAAGATTATCATACTTAAATTATTACAACGTAAACAAACTTATTCAGAGTGGTTTGATGCAAAGTGCTCCGTTCTAGATAAACTGAGTGGTTTACAGTGGTGGTGAATGGAACCAGACGTCTGAAGAGTTGCTGCCTGATGTCTCAGACGTCTGATTTTCAGTTGTTTAAAGAATGTTTTGGTCTACAACTCATTTTTAAATCTATTTATGGTGGAGAGATACATGCAGGGTGTTGTGAGGCAAAACAATTCCTGAGGAAACCTTTTTTTTCCCACTATTTTACCTATTCTGCATTTTCCGTGCATTAACCTCTTAAAATCTCAGGCTTATTACATATTAAGGCTTATTATTCAGTGATTACAGGAACTTCAATGCAAACTGGCTGAGCTATTCTTAGGTTATAGAAGTGTGTAATAAAACTTTGGGCTTGTTTCAACTTGTTTGTGGTCATCTGATAAGTGGAAGCAAGTATGTTCCATGGGGGCTAATAAATCTGGTTTATTTTCCCTAAATTCTGTAATATATATATATATATATATATATATATATATATATATATATATATATATATATATATATATATATATATATATATGATCGTATGAAAGTGGTTTGATATAAAATGCTCCATTCTAGAGAACCTTGTTCACAGTGCTGGCGATGGGAACCAGATGGCATGAGTCTTTAATGTCTCTAAAAAGAGTTGTGAGGCTTAAAGATAATACATTCGTAGAGGTACAGTACATGCAGGGTGTTGTGAGGCAAAGTAGTCCCCCAAAAAAACATATTTTTTTTAAATTTACCACTATTTTACCATCATCAACATTCCACAGGTAGGTTCACTGGTGGTTTTGGATGGTAAATAAAATGTCTATGTATATTTGTGTTGTAGTCATGGCGACCCCTGGTTCCTATCACCACCACTGTAAAGAAACTGAACCGTTTCACACCAAACCACTCTGAATCACTCTGTTTACATCTCACACCCTGAATTATGCAGCGTATGTAATTATGAAATGCATCAGCATGTAGAACCGGAGCTTTCTGTGAGCTACCGTGTTTCCTATCACTGTATAAAAGATGAATGAGCTCACGCACAGATCACATACCGAACTGCTGTAACTGATTTGTTTAACCAGATTAATGATGAAATGCAACTGAGGTGTGGCTTGTGTTCCTATTAATGTGTCAAAAATGTATTTTGTGAGACGACCTGAATAAAAATCGACCAATTTTTGGCGTTGCTTACATATCAGATACAAACAGCAGCACTGAGAAATTGCTATTAATGGAGAAGCGCAGATTAAACGGCTGAAATAGCCACATGTTTGGGTTTTGATCATGAACGCAAGCTAACTTTACGGAAATAAGACGAGTTAGCCGCTTTTACATTGGTGGATGACCTTTTTTATTGAGAGCGTCAGTGTATCAGTTTGAAGAACGTACACTTTGGCACTCAGTTTGACAGCATGCACTTTATTTAGAACCACTACATTGTTCATGCCAGCAGCAGCTCATGTAGACACAGCAGCTCGTGTGCAGTGAAAGCCTTTACATCAGCATCCCCCCATGCTGCGGTGGAGGCATTTCTTCGGCGTGTCATTTCAGACAGAGGACTCAAACCACAATCAAGAGCGGCAAACCACAGCTCTAATTGCCCACACGTTCGCTGATCCTACAGCATCCGCTAAAAAGGTACCGCAAATTGACAATAGGCAGATGTCAGTGCATCCCCTAAATGTTGTTCAGTACAAATCAGCCGCGATCCTATTACCATCTAAATAGCTTCTGAAGCTGCATCTCCGTCCCCCAACGATCCTCCTGATGCGACCGTGATGGCGTCGAGCGGAATTAATTGATATGTTTTGTCTCCTTGTGGTTTCCTCTCTCTAATGGTTTACTAGTGTTGGTCCACTCAACACCAATTACTGATTGCTTGTCTTGTGAGCAGGTCGGCTGTGTGTATGTAAGAGCCTCTCAATCTCTCTCTCTCTCTCTCTCTCTTGCAGTGGACAACGTCCTGCAGGGTCCTGTGTTCACCAAGCAGCCGGGCAGCATTGTTTTCCCAGTGGACTCCATGGAGAAGAGCCGAGAGGTGGTGTTTAGCTGTGAAGCGCAAGGACAGCCCCCGCCTTTTTACAGGTGAGCCGTCCGGCATGTTGGACCAGTCGTGCACCGTTTACCTTCTCAGAGAGCTGGTGAAGAAGTCGCACTCGAACGGCAGACAGGTGGTCTAAAGCAGGGTCCCCAAACCTGCAAGACAGCTTCATACGGCCTGTCATAGATTTACAGTTAGACTGATGATTACGTTGTTAAAAATAATTAAAAAATAGAGCGAACCAAATTAATCCATTATCAACTGATTCCACTGAGAATCCATTTCTCGCATGTTCAGCTGGAACATCAACACTATCACATTAAGAGTCCCATATAATTCTACTATTAAAGGGTCCATATCAATTATCAATTTCCACACCATTTTTTTATTATTATTATTATTTTTACTAATTTCCATAACTCAAAAACAGAAATGGTCCAAAATGAATGTATTTATCCGTCTCCTGTAAAGTTACCATTTTGGGCACACAAGGCTTTGCTCTGACAGCGACAGTATGTGGAGGCTAACTTCACTGTTTTTATGATGCCACAAATACTAATGCACTTATGTATATACACTATATGGACAAAAGTATTGGGACACCTATACATCACACATACAGGAGCTTTTATGAATCCCACTCTAAATTCATAGGCATTAATATGGAGTTGGTCCCCTTTGCAGCTCTAACAGCTTCCACTCTTCTGGGAAGCTTTCTACAAGATGTTGGAGAGTCTGGGGGAATTTTTGTCCATTCATCCAGAAGAGCATTTGTGAGGTCAGACACTGATGTTGGACGAGAGGGCCTGGCTCACAATCTGCGTTCTAGTTCATCCCAAAGGTGTTTGATGGGGTTGAGGTCAGGGCTCTGTGAGGGCCAGTCAGGTTCTTCCACACCAAACTCACCCAGTCAGGCCTTTATGGAGCTGCTTTGTGCACTGAGGGCTCAGTCATGCTGGAACAGGAAAGGTTCTTCCCCAAACTGTTCCCACAAAGTTGGAATCATATAATTGTCCAGAATGTCTTGGTGCTGAAGCATTAAGATTTCCCTTCACTGGAACTAAGGGTTCTAGACCAACCCCTGAAAAACAGCCCCATATCATCCCTCCTCCACCAAACTTTACAGTTGACACAGTGCAGTCAGGCAGGTAACGTTCTCCTGGCATTCGCCAAACCCAGACTCGTCCATCAGACTGACAGATAGAGAAGTGATTTAGCCCGACACACTAATGCTAAAGTTAGGAGTGTTTCAGCCTGGACTGCTTTCTGAGCACAGCCAATTAGAACAGAGCTCATACGTATATCAGTCTTAAAGGCACAGTAACAAAAAGATTAATTAAAAGCGTCATTCTAAGGTTGGGAAATGGTCAGGTAAAACTGTTTTTGTTATATAAAAGCATGCAAATATTATAAGGGAACCTTAAAGAAAAAAAAAAATCAAATGAAGGAAAAAAAGTTTGTCCTTGTAAGTTTAATTAATTTAACTGAACATTTAAAATATTGTGGCAGCGGCACAGAAGAAGACGACGCGGGAAACACAACGCTTCAAGCAAGTGCTCTTTTATTGAACCTGACAGCGGGGAGAGCCGCCGCTCAGCGATATAGAACGGCCAACAAAGCCGGCACATCAGCTCTTACCACACATTCCACGCTAGTGGTAGATACACAGACCCACTAGACCCCCAGTCTGGCACGCATATACACATCATTAAGCTAACTACAGCAACTTATTTACACATTTAAGTTTCTCTTACTGTGAGTCCCGCGGTCCTGTGATGCTATGGCACTTAGCATGGCCACACCTCCTGACGGTCCATGGCCAATAAAGGCTTGCTACAGTACGCATTACGCGCTATGTATTTATTCTACTATTACTACTACTAATGATATTAATAATAATACTACTATAATTATTATTGTCATTATTACTGGTGTTGTTGTTATTATTACTATTATTATTAATATTATTAGTATTATAAGTAGTAATTGTGGTTTGTCGTGACAAAAGAATTGTTATTAAATACTGACTAAAATGTGCGCTTAGGAAGTTTTTCCTGACCACTGTTGCCTTTGGCTCGCTCGTTGGGCCTTGGACCTGGATCTAAATAAACTTTGACTTTGACGTTGACTTACATCCCCCTATATTGGGAGATTTTATTGATTTATTTTGTTTATTTTCTCATTTTTTACATTTTTAATCTGCCTCCCTTAGAGAAGACCACCTGGCCATTGGCCCCCAGGTAATTGTGTTTGAGACCCCTGCTCCTTTTAGTGGTGTGAAGTGTCAGCGTGTATTCCTGCCGTTAATTTGAAGGAAAGGAAAGTCTCTGCAATTTAAGAGGAAAGCACTCAAAAGTTCTTGGTTCATTATTTTGTCAGGACGTTGATCTGAAAAAAAGAAAATTCACACGTTGTCACTTTTTAAAGTTATGTAATCACATTACACACACATCCTTTTGGTATCAGGGACCAACTGCGCTGGCTTTAAGCATAAAAGGAAATAAATTAGGTAATTAAGGAACTAAATGATGTTTGAAGAACTCTCCTGATTACTTTTCTCCACAAGACGAGCCAAGCGAGCGCGAGCTCCTGTAGATGTGCGGCTCTTCGGCGCTTTGCAAGAAACGCCGCCTTGACAGAAACGCGGTTCTTGACCACATGCTTCATTAGTTTATCAATAGCCAAGTATGTTCTGCCTGAGCCAAGTGCCTGGTACGGATCAATCCGGTCCTCCTCGCTGCTGCAGCTGAGGTGTGCTTTGGCCAGACAGGTCCATTTACTCCCCCACCCCGGATCGAGCTAGCCTAATGGACGAGCTAATCAGCTGCTTCCTGTTTCCCGTCAACTTGGCTGAATCATCTGGCCTCGTGGTGGATGTCTTCCTCTGGGCAGCTCCAAACTCCATCACTTTCTGAAGTCATTACGCTGCTAACCGCTGCGCTATGCCTGCCGCACTCATTACAGTGCCGTTAGCCGTTTAGCTGTAGAAGCTAAACCACACGTCCCCTGATTCCTTCCGCAGATACTTTAAGTTCAGAGAGCCCTGAAGGTAAATCAGACCTGTGTTTCCCAGCTTTTGTACAAAGACAGCTGGTGCGTGTCTGTTTCGTTGGAGATTTTTAGATGTGTATATGTTACTCACAGGGATTTGAGGCGGCCGTCGCTCTGTCTCCGCAGCCAGATGGTTTTGTAATTCCACGTAATGTCTGTTTGAACACGATCACATGAAGCATGTGCTGAGTAAATGAAGTGGCTCAGCTGCAAGGTGCTGATTACATTCAATCATACCGTAATACGTGTTGCCTTCAGCCACATTCGCAGAACATTGCAGCAAGATTTCCAACAATGCGAGCGACTTCTCATTAACAGCCTATTAAGGTCTTCGTCTGGAGGGGTTACGTTTACAGTGCCTGCACAATTTCTCCTCACACGGACCTACAGTAGCGTGCAAAATCAGAGAGCGTCCTTTGTTTATTAATATCCAGTTAATTCAGCCAGTAAGTACAAGTTATTCATTCTTTAGGAGATGTTTATGAGATTAGATATAAGATGATTACATATGGAAGAGAAAAATCAATGGACGGACCCCAGAGTCCAGACCTCAACATTACTGAATGTGTTTGTTTACTTTAGAAGATGATCAACCAACTTCAAGGCTGAACTTTGGAGATGTGGAAAAACCTCTCTGAAAAACTGAAAAGAATGGAAGCTGAAATAAAGATAGGACCGTTTTTCGCGCTCTGGAGCTTCGACAGTAATCAACAGTGAATATTCAAAGCTTTGCCCTGCTGTTGGGGAGTGGGGGGGTGTTGGGTAGGGGGGCTGAGAAAGTCATTTAGAAAATCTGCATCTGCCGTCCATGTTGAAAGCATCAAGGCTTCCTCTGTTGTCAGTTCCGTGTCTCCAGACTAGCTTCTTTCCTCGCAGAGCGCTGCAGTGCTCACAGCACAGCTTTGCTCCATCTACCAGGCCTGCTAGTCTCTCTGAGCAGCAGGCTAGTCAGTGAAAGCACGGCGCATGCATGGGTTAACGGCGCTTCACAGAGGTGTTCTAACTCAGTGTAGCAGGGCATGCATCGCTGGCCTAGTAAGGGTCCAGTACGGTGGGGCACTGTTTGCAGCCGCCCTGGGAATTCATGCTGTCCAGCACCTCGTTAGTGTTGTATATACGGTATATATCTACATGTTTTAAGAGTGCAATTAAAAAGTATAAATATAGTAGAAGAATTTGCTGACAAAATACACTGTGGCGTCGTCGCACCACACTGTACATAGTTCAGTGTTTTAAAAAGGAGAAATGTTTATTTTGGGCTGTTTTAGGTTCAGGCGTGCCAGGACTTTTATGTTGAAGAGCCTGAATGTGGGTGCAGGTTTATGGAGTAGAGCAGAGGGCTGTGTTTTTAGCTGTTAGCGCTGGAGGGGCTGTGTTTCTTCTCACTGTATTTGGCGCTGTTTTCAGCTGTGTTATGGACCACAACCTCGAGTCATTTCTCTCAAGAACCCCAAACGTTAAAGTAGGGACTAAACCACCTTTATTGATAGCCTACATTTAGTAAAACAAAAAAATCTGAATCCCAAAATTAAAAATCGAATAAATACCCAACGAATAAATATCCAGATGAATATTTGAGTCCAGCCCTACATAAAGCTGAAGAGTGGTGACACTAAATACAGAAACATCTGATATTATATTCCTTTCTTGAGGGTTTTGTTTTCTTTTAAATATGTTTTCTGGCTTTTTTCTGTCTCTGAAAAATACTTGTACTTTATGGTCATTTTGACTGGAAATTAAATAAATGAAGGGTGGTCTCTGACATTTGCACAGTACTGTACTGTGTTCAAAGCATTGATAGAAATGACCTAATTACCTAACCTTTTATTGCAGTTTACTAAATCACAATATTTAAAAAAATAAATAAATAAAAATAAATAAAAAACACGTACATGTTTGAAGCTAAACAAACTATGTTCTTGGTGTCATTTTTGAATATATGATGTTTTTGTCTGAGAACACCAGCAGCGTCTTTGTTTGATGTGTCCGTCTC